TGTCTCAATGAAATATATTTTTGAGAGGAAAAACTTGTACTCTGTTATAACCAAGTCATTAATCCTTATAGCATAGAAGGCTTTCTTAAAAACAAAAAAATCATAAGGTTTAATTGGTTGGGGTTTTTTAATTACTACTTAAAGACTGTAAATGAAACTGAAAATCTAGATTGCTTAAAGAGAGAATGGGCGTCCTCCCACCATTTTAAGGTTTAGAAATTTGAAAAACAGTGGGAGAAAATTGCATATTTATTTGTCTGTCAATGATATTCTTAATTATTTGCAGCTGAATTCAAAATACAGCTTTTCACTAAGCCATGATTTTCTAAAGATTTAGACATCTGTTTAGTGTCTTAAAATATGCATCCTGTTGATCAAAAAGTAATGCCAGGCAAATGCATAAACACTTTTGTGGAATTTGGCCTGTCAGTACAAAGGTATTTTTTGCATTCTGGTATTTAATGTCACATTTATTGCAGCTTAAAGCTTTTCCTGTTCATTAAATCTTACTAGCCAGTGCTTGACGACTTTCTATACTTTCTAATAAGTAGCGGGATTCCATTTTAAAATGTCGCAGTGTACATATATCAAGCTAGTAGACCACAGTCAGTTTTAGAACCAAGTGGAAATTAGATTTTCCTTTTAGGTAGGGAGTTCTTTCACATGAAATATTTTCTTATTCCACTTTTTCAGAAAGTGTCCTCCTTAACCTAGTAAGCATTTCATTTAAAAATTATAATAATAATAGAAGTTCAATGGTAACATTTAATTTTGATTATATAAGCAATAAATTTAACTTAATCTTTTTGAAATAAAAAAAAATAAGTAGTCCAATAATATTGAATTAGATAAATTATTTTACTCTAGAATTGATTCAGCCCTGCAGTAAATGCAGCCCTCTACACTGGAATAAACTATTATGCAATTAAAAAGCACCACAGTGCGTGAGTTCAGAGAGATTCACTAAGGTTACTTATCTTTATTTTGATTTTTCCTAATTTTTTTTTATTTTCTCAAATATTGTTTTGGTGATATGGAATTTGCATGAATTAGTTGTACTTAGTTTAGCTAATGTTAGTGATGATCAAAAAGTACATTCAGATTCCATTTAAAATATTGCATCCCTAAGATACTTACTCTTAGTTTCATTTTATATTTTACTGGAGTTTTATATTAAAACTGGTGAATTATCTTTCTTTTATACATGTGGCTTTTAAACCTTGTGTGTGGAGAACTTTCTTTGAATTATCAGAGAAAATCAAAATAAATGTTCGGCTTCTTGTCTTAACTAAAAATGAAAATTTTATTTGTCATGGCTTATTTCAAAGATATGTTTAGTATTTCAACGATGTATGTTACAAAGCTCATAACCTGTACTGTATTGCTGCATTTGTGTCAGAAACAAGTTTTAAATGGGTCTTGGAGCAAATATGTTTGCCTTTAATGTTGTACTTGTGCAAATATTTTTATAAAACTAGGGTTAGTAATGATCAGGACATTAATAATCAGAATAATTGGTACCAGTAATAATCAGAACTTGTGTTCCAATTTCAGATTCCCACAGGCATTCTTTTTTAATTTTGCTTACCATGACTCCAGAAAACTCCAATGGTTTTTGTAACACGGTTACACAGAATGCAGTTCCGTGATGATATTGCATTTCAGTTACCAAAAGGTAACTGAATCAAATGATTTATCCCACAGTGGATAATAAGCAAACTCTGAACTTCAGGTGTATCTGAAAGGGTTAGAAAATAGTGCTTATGTGGCTAGGAAACACTGCTTCAGTACCTCAAGGTATGCTCCTCTAACTTCATGTTTGAAAAGAGTATCTGTGTTTCTACTCACAGAAGAGAGATGAGTTGAAAGAGCCTAAAAACCAAAGGTTTAACAAAATCCAGTCACTGGAAGTTGAAAGTAGACAAATTTGATGTAGAAATAAATGGTATGTACTTAACTGACAAAGTGAAGCACTGAAACAGTTTACCAAAGTAGATCTTCCATCCCTAGCTAATAATTTAAAATCAAGGCTGGACAATTTTTTTCCCCCCAAGGAATAGGGACTAGTTCAAATAGTTTTGGAAGAGGCTGGTGTTTTCAGAAGCCGTACTTAGATGGTCATAGGAATACCTTTTGGCCTTATAATGTATGAATTTGATAATAAAAAGATCATAATCATTACAAAACTTAAATCAAAAGTGAGTCCATTCACCACATTTCCATAAGGCTTTGCTTGTGTTTATGGAAATCTTAATTTTAATTCTGTCTGGGCTTGTTTGTTCTCAACAGGTCTCATGTACACTGTATGAGGATTGAATGAAGGGAATCAAAGACTGTAGTAGGTTATTACTGATATTGCAGGCATTATTATTGCAAATATCAGCAGAAAGGCTTATTATCAAGGAATTGACTTACTAAGTCTTTCTCTTGAGTGCACTTATGTCTCTTATGTTATAGCTTTGGCCTCAGGCAGCATATGATCTTATCAACAGCACACATATGCGCAGAGCATAGAGTTCAAATATTTAAAGGGACATCATCAACTTGAGAATGCTTGAGTGGAAAATCCTATACTTGCTATTATTTAAAGTTAAAAGTATTGGAACAGAAAGGGTATACATACACCTCAATTTTTAACTTCACTTTTTGTACACTGTAACATATGAATAGTTTATTTAATTTTGTTGATGGTGAACACTCCTTCTAGTGCATCATGTAGCAACAGCAAAGCTTCAGAGAAATGGACAAAACCCAGCTAGGGTGGAGAGAGACAGGGTAAGACTCCTGTGCCTGCGTAAGGCCCATCCACATAGCAGGGTGCAAACAGATCTGTGTTCCTCTACCCACATTCAGAACTGAAGAGGTCCAACCCAGAAGTTGACAAGTGTCCCTTTAAGTAGTGCACATAGTAGTAGTGGTATAGCTGTTTAGTTTTTTTCTTTATAATCCTTAAATTGTGTTTGTACACATGTTAGTATTTCAAAGGTTTTAAAATCAAGAAATAGTTTAATAGGAATTGATGAGTAGACTCTTTACTGTTTTTATAATAAAGTTTTTTAAAAAAAATATTAATTTCAAAGGAATTAAAAGTAAAACTTATCTAGCAGCCTTTCGTACTGAATGCTTGCTTACTGTAATCTCCTATAAAAGAAAAGATGCAGCCACAGCATGTCACATACACTACCCTTTTGAGGTGGAAAGCACTGTGTTTCACAGGGTGTATAATCACTTAAGATGCTTCGGTGTATACGAACTTCACTCCTTTATTTTAGCGGCAGCTCTCCATCAGTTTTAACGGTGCATATAATTTTTGTGAGGACTCCAACACACTGTCTATTCTCTTGTCTGGTCAGCTGTTCTACTCTTCACATACACTCTACCGTATGATAAAACTGTTATTACATGCTGTCCCAAGGTGACTGTATTGTAATGCCTATTTCTGCTGATCTTAAAATGATTTTCCTTGTTATGGCAGCACTCTTTATGGAATTGAAATGTCTTAGGTGTTATAGCTGCTTTTTATAAAAAGCATGTGACTTGTTTCATGGCTCGCTTCATTTAACACAGTGAACAAAATAAAATAGTCCTAATCAATTGAAGTGAGAGAATGTGTTTTTGCATGAACATAGTAAAAGTTTACTTGCACTGATGTTCTTATATGCCAAGTGCCAAGGTGTGGTCATCTGGTTACATGAAGCATGCTTTCTCTGAGTGTTTTACTTTGAAATAAACTACAATATTAACTTTTTTTAGTTAATACGTAACCTTCAATAGAGGCGCCTAGTAGTATGTCTGAAATAATTTTTTAAAATTATGTTTGGAAATACTTATAATGCAAAGCTATTGCTGAATAGTATAATGTTATGAAAATAGACTGTGTTTCGTATAAAATTATGTTTCTTACCCATTTTTGGTAAATTAATTTCTTACTAAGTCAAGAAAGATGTTTAAAATCCTTAGCTGAAATTTCCAAGCTTTGGAGTTTGTATTAAGCATGTAGTTCCTTAGTTTTGCACCTAACAAAGTGGCCTGATTTGTCAAGGCAGCCGGTTATGTAGAGTCAGGAACAATAATGGGGACTCAAAATTACTGAAAAAACGGGCATTTATTTATGTGTCTAGCTTTAGCTGTGCAACTTCAAAAACACTGGCCTAGTTTCTGAAGATAGTTTTAAGACAAAGGTGAAGGAAACATTACATCCCAGTACATATTTTTACTGTTCTGTTTGGGCAAACCAAGAAGAGTACATTATATAAAGCAATTTAGCCAAAAAAAAAAAAAAAAAAAAAGGCAAGCTAATAAATATAAGCTCCTCTCTTTCCTGTCCTTCAGGTTCCAATTTTCTTAGTCTTTGGAAAAAATTATTCAAGGCAATTTATAAAACAATCAAGGCTGATAAGTATTTAGTTTTCTGTGTTTTACTTGGGTCTACTGGGGTTTATAGGCATGGTGTTTCTTCATTTTAACCCTTCTTGCTTGATCTCATAGTGAAGTCATAATGTCATTAATGCCTGTTTCAATTGCTGTTAGTGCAATGATGAAAATACTCTATGACTTTTGTACTAGATCAAACAGAAGGAAAAATGGATTATTTCCTCATGTTACAGCATGGTACGTCTTTCTAACTACAAGCAGTAGACTAGGGAACAGTACATGAAAATTGAGTAGCATCTTTCTCAATTGGATGCGTTTACATTTGTATAGTGCTTTAAATCTTTAAGCATCATGGAAGCAAAGAATTACATTAGGAGTGACAGAGCTTTATGTAATCTCGAAGCCTCTTTTTCCAAGTTACTGAAAACATATACCATTCATTAAAGTCCTGTCATTTGAATATATAAGAACTTACATCTAGGAAAACTGTTAGTATAAAGCTATTAAGATTTTCTAGGTGGAATAATACAGCGCCTACTATTGAAAGTGTCACTTTTCTGCCTTGTCATCCATTGTGTTATACAGAAATACAGAAAAAAGTGAGCCTGATTTGTTCTCCTTTGTAGAGCCAGGCCGAGGCCCACTACAAAGGAAGTAAACATGCCAAGAAGGTCAAAGCACTAGAGGCAACGAAAAATAAACCCAAAGGTGGTTCTTCCAAGGACAGCACAAAGGCTAATACAAGCTGCTCCACCACGCCAGTCACAGCCAACATCTCTGACAAATCAGGTCAATGAAAACTTTTTGTTCTATACATTCTTTATTTTCTCCTTTTTTGGTGTTTGTACAAGAGGATCTGGTTGCATGACAGTGATCCATGACTTGTGTTTTCTAAAATACTTACTATGCTTTCTTGTACAGAATTGATTGGTTTTGATATTATCAAAGTGCTTTTTCACATCTGTGAAACAGCTGGTGTCCCTGAATGCTAAAGTCTATTTTTTTTTTTTAAACTTGTGAAATTTACTCTTATAAAGTGTGGATGTTGCTCATACAACAATGATAATGGATGGATGTGGGCGGAGGGGCAAGTCTGAGATGTATGTATTTAGCTGAAGCACAAGAAACCTTTGCGAGAAATTTTTCCTTTCTGAATAGGATAATATTGCTCAAACAAGAAAATACACCTACAGAAATGTAATGAAGACTCATGGCGTGGATATTTCCTGATTTCCACAGCTCAATAATGATTCAACATCACTTCTTTTTTTTTCCCCATATTAGTAATCTGAGGAAGATCAGTAACACTAATTGCAGTGGAGTTGCTTGAGTCTCTTTCTGCTCTGTCAGTGTTGTGTTACTGAATGAAACAGGAGAATTTCCTGAACTCGCTGACAGTCTGAAATACTGTACTTGTTATCCAGCAGAAAGCACCTACTGTGGGTTATCCAACTGTTGGTCTAATAGACTGCTTCAGATAAATTTGCTTCTGCCTTGGTAGCCATTTATTATCCTCTTCACTGGAGCTGAGCTTGACACAGATGTCATAAGGTGAATGACACAGACAGTTTTCTGACACACACACACACACAAAAAAAAATTCCATATCAGTGGCTATTTGTCATCTTGCTCTCTTCACAGCAGCACCAGAACTGTGTTTGTCTGAGTCTTTACCAATGACAATGGGTCCCAAATTTTGGGTTGATTCACCTAGCAAATCACATTTTAGGTTTGAGAGAGAGAACATGAATCCAAGTAGCATCTTGGGGGTAAACAGCCCATGTTACTATAAAACAGTAGCAAACTACCATTGATCTAAACAAAATGTGGACTATTGATTGGAAAGAGATTTAAAATATTTGATAAATATTTTACTCTCTGAAATATCAAAAATAGCTTTGGTTAAAATAGCTTACTGCTTCAGGTGTACACTAAGAACTCAGACAACTGCTTAAGTAAGATATCAGTTAAAACTTTAGAGGATTTAACAGGTTAAGAATGCATTCCGTGATAATGTAATTTTATAATGCCCTCCCCGACCTGTGCCAAAGGCTGAGGGCCAAATAACAAAAGTTTCAGCATCTCTTACAAACTCCATCATCTCTTCCATAAGTCTGGATCTGTCTCGTGTTTCCTTTGCCAGACTATGAGATCTGTCTCTGACTTAATTTTCTTCTTCTCTGTGCAATGTACCTAAAATCATTCACCACCTCTACATTCAATTTTTGATAAAATAATCTCACCAATGATATGGGAAACCTGCTCTTGGTATTTTTATATCGCCCTGTTTTGACAGTGTGTTGTTTTATGCTATTAATTACTCTGCACAAATTAGACAGATTACCATCTGTGTCTGTTGGATTATACCACTGCAAGTGTTCCTACATTAAAAATAAATCACAGTGGCAATTTAGTTAAATGCTTTCTTCCCGTTAGGAGAACAGTGGGATTCTCTGTGAAGGGGAGGCTCCTCAGAGCCTGTTACTGCTCTATAGGAGATTGTGGGTGGGATATTTGGGAGGACAAAAACCTGAACCTGGAGTGGCAAATTCTGCATATACGGAGGGAATGCTGGTCGCAGAGGTGGGGAACGGCTTGGAGATTGGGGTTTTTACCAGGCTATGGACTTGAAACCAAACCATAATTTTGTTCAGCTGCGCTTTCCCCTACAGAGGCTATTGTTCATCTGTTCTTTAACATATGTTTAGCTCTTTAACATAATGCTTATTGCAGCTAGAGCAATCACTGCATTGCTTCTGGGAATCAGTGGCGGGGTTTTTTTGCCTTGGAGCAAATTAACTCATACCATTTTTTCTGACTATTTTAACACAGCTTTCATTCTCTGAGAAATGGATTATTGCTATATATTAACTGTATAGGTATATTTTAGTTTTCTTTAAAAGATTCCTAGTACTATGTATTTCAGTTCATGTGTGTATTTGTGGTCTTGGTATTTTTTATCCTGATTTCCTGAGGAAATGAGACTTACGATCACATCATCTATCCTTATTTCTGTTACTCCCCGGCCCTGTCTTGACAACTTTGGCTTGTATTGCTTAGCGTCAAAAAAATTCATGAGATGAAGAGGTTTTAATGAAGCTCCTATAAGTTTGATGAAAATTGGCACCTGGGTAGAAGAGAAGCCTTAACTTATGGTCCATACTGAGAGATGCTGCCATGTGAGCTCTGTTTTGCTTGGCCTGCTGACTGGCCAGGCACTATGTTTGCCTTCAGGACGGGGGATTTGAGAGTGTGTATGTGTTGTGTAGGTCTGAAAAAACTGCATTGGAAGGACATAAGATAGGGGCTAAATGGAATCAAGGAAGGGAATTAAATTCCACCACTTGTGGAGCTGTTGTTTAACCATTGTACTTTGGAGGATTGCTAAGTTCTTGAGAAATGTTCATCAAGAAATAGGTCATTTCTGGTGTCCCTTTCTTGAGTATCGAAGAAGAGAATGAGAAGCTAATCAGAGAAGCCAGTTTGAAGTTCTTGGGTTCCTTTATTATCTGCTGTACTTCCACTAGTATTAGTGCAGAATGGGTAGGGAGTATTATAGTAAACTGATAAACTGAATTTACTATTCTCTTATATAGGTCTGCTAATAAAAGGACACAACAGGAACAACTAGCAGCTTTTCTGATGTGCTGTCATTTTGAGTGATATAATGATGAATGATCTGGAGCTCTCCAGACTGAACAGTTGCTCTATATTGAACTAAAGTGTCAAGTTAAGTTTGCTACAGAGCCATGTCTTCCGTGGGTCAGACATAACATGAGATCCAAAACACTTATTTGTCAGAAGCCATTATTGTAGTAGTAACAGGAAAAATAATTTCACTGTTAGCTCAGCTTGTGTGATGAATCTATCAAAGGCAACCCCCAAATTCATCCAGTCCTTACTTTTCAAAACTTATGATGCAGTGGTCTCTCTACAGCTGTTCCTTTCAACTTGAGAAATGTGGTAGAACTACAAAAGTTAAATTAATCTTTAAGGTCTTTTGGGAAGTTTCCAGAAGAACGTGGGCTTCTGAAGACAAAAGTGGCCTCAGCCGAATGGAAAGGGGTGACTCTGGAACTCGGTCTGAGCATGATGATGCCCAGGCTGTGACAGAGTGGTCTTCTCTGCTGACGCTAATAATACATTATGCCTCAGAAATTACTTTTGTAAATTGATCATCAGCAAACATGTAATAATAAAGCCATAGCACTGTAATGCTGAGTTGGCTGCAACCTCAGGTAAGTGGATATTGATGGGTTGGATTGCACAAGTTTTGCATCCTAACATGATTAGACTACTATGTGATCTTATTTTCTAAGCCCACAACTCTTCACCATTTAGAAAATACTTGTTTATTCGTACTTGTAAGTACCACCATCCTATCCAGTTCACTGTTTCTGCAGACAGGAAGAAAATGCCACAAATGATGCGTGACAAGGTGGTTGTTCCCATACCTCTTGTTGGGTCATGTCTGCTTGTCCGGATGGGTATTTGCAGATTGGAGGTGTCCATAGGAGACCCTTTCATAACCCATCTCCCACACAATTTCTCTCACCACCCAGGAAGTGTCTAGTAATGGCTATAGAACAGTTTCATATGCTAGAAAATCACTGTTGTGACACTGCAAGCTTTTTTGTAGCTGCTTTGAGACATGGTTACAGAACAGCAGTGTTAACAGCACTGGGAGCTGCTCTTTCATGTGGGGCAAAGACTCCCTTCCCTCCCTGTGGAAGCCCAGGATTTTCAGGATGGCTTCACACAGAAGTATACATATATGTATGGCATATATGTATGGCATTGCTTTAGAAAAGGACAGGGGTAGCAATCAGTACATAACAGTTTAGAATATTTAGAGTATGTTTTAAATATAGCTCTGAGAATGCAATAGAAGATGGTGTCTGTGATCCTAGGTTAGCATAGTCTAGATGCTTACAGTGATGAGTCCTTTAGGAATGCATATGATAATAACTGGATTGAAATGTCACTGTTTACTTACCAAGCAAAGAGGAATTCTTTGATCATACTTCCAAATCAAAATAAATAGTTCAAAATGAAGCAGACATATGATGTGGTATGACCTTCTTTGCATTTTGCTTTGATACAAAAATCAGGAAGTAAATGCAAGTGTTTTAAACTACTCAAAAGAGTCAAAACCAGGTTTCAGATTATAAAAGTAAGGTCATTTTTTTCTGTCTTTGATCCGTTCAGTATGTGCTCTATTTCCTTTGTGCCATTGAGAGCTGTTTGTGAAATGATAGGTATGGGCGTTTCAAGTTCAGTCCTCATTCAAATAAGATCAGAAGGCTCTGCTACTTGGGACTTAGTAGGTACAGGTAAATCCTTTGGATGCTCTATGAAAACTCCTTTTTGTTCAGCTAGTACAGGGATAGGCGACATTACGCACCTAACTAGGCCAAATTTTAGACACTGTTTCAGGTGCTGACCCCTCTTACTACTGCTTTGTTCTGTAGCTGTTTCTCAGGGCAGCTCAGCGAGCAGTTCACAGGGTCATGGTGATCATATTCCAGCATATGAGCAGTCCTATGTTGATCTGCTGTGTATGGCAAGGACGGCAGGAAAGGGATGTGACTGGAAAGTTGTTTGCCAGCTTCTCGTTCCTAAGTGGGCCCTGTAAGAGTTATTCCAGTCGTTACAGCTGTATAACTAAAACCAGCTGGAAGTTGTTCTGAGGAACGTTGTCATGCTAGAGTGCGGTACAGTGTCTGACACCAAACGGGCTAGCTCACATTTTGAAAACAGCCTAGACATGTTGATGGACCTAATAAATG